ATAGCGATAATGATAACCGTGTCAATACTGTCTGTAATGTCAATAATATGGATAACATTGATTGCAACGACGACGACATTGCTGGCGATGACGTGGATGACGATGACAACAATGAGGAAGATGATGATGAGGAGGAGGATGAAAATGAGGATGATAAAGTAATAAACGGGGGTAGTGAGTGTTCGAGTGGGGATGAGTACAACCCGAAGTTGGACATGAAGGAGGAGAAGATGAGGAGGAGGAAGGAGAGGAGGCAGGTCATGAAGAACAATCGCAATAAATCAGGTCAGTTTTCCACCTCCATCTAGTCAATAAATTTTCTGTTTTATTTTTTTGACTTATCATCCATCTATTTATCTATCTGTCTATCCATCTATTCCTCTATCTATCTATCTATCTATCTGTCTATCTATCTATCTATCTATCTGTCTGTCTATCTTTCTATCCATCCATCCATCTATCTATCTAACTAATATATATCATCTCATTTTTTTATTATTTTCATCAGCAATTTTAACGTTATTGTTAATGGTTTTTACCAGTCTATTAATGATCGTAAATTTTATTAAAATCGAATGCTTGGGATGTTGATTGAACTCGATTGAGAACATGTGATCATTTAAATTCCGCCGCTTAGAAAATTTTGCCGTACAGATTTTAATCATTATTATTTATTTATTTATTCATTTAGTTATTTATTTTATAAAATGTGATAATTCAATTATCAAACTGGTTGCAGCTAAAAGGAGTCTGCAGAAGATAAAGGAGAAGTTGCGCCTGAAGAAGATAAAGATGCAGATGGAGAAAAACTCGCAAGAGAAGAAATCCTGTGATGACGATGACGACGACGATGATAAAGGCGATGGTGCTGATGATGACGCTGCTGCTAATGATGATAATGATGGTGACGATGATAAAAAAGGTGTTGATCAATCTAAAAAGGTGAAAAATAAGAGTAAAATTAAAACAAAAGGAGGAAATAAGAAGGACGATAAAGTTAAAAAGAATGACAGTAACGAGGATGATGATTTTGGTGAGGAGGATAAGAAAGTGAAGGCTAGAGAGGACGATGACTGCAATGATGTGAGTAAGAGGAGGAGAAACATTCTCGACAAAAAATTGCAGAGATTCCAAAAAAGTCGCAAGGCAGGCGATCAGGATAGTGGCGGGAATGACGATGACGACGGAGATGATGGTAACGAAGACGAGGGCAAGAAGAAGAACATGGACAAGACTAAAAAAGATGCAGCTGGAGATGAAAAGTTGGGGAGAGGATGTCGGGTGAGGAAGAAAAAGTCCATGAAGGAGGAGGAGGAGGAAGACGAAGAGGAGGAGGCGGACAAGGGGATGTCGAAAAGCATCAGGAGTGTTAAGAAGCTACTGAAGTACGATAACGCGCAGGATTACATGGCAAACAAGAAAACATCTTCGAAAGCTCATCACGCAGCCACTGGTGAGAATGATTCAAAAGTCAAACAGGAAAAGAAGAATGGTGGTGATGGGTGGAATGATGATGTTGGTGACAAATTTGATGAGCATGATAATGATGGAATGAATGATGAGAACAGTCTGACCAATGATGCCACGAGTAAAGAAAAGATGATGGTGAAAAAGAAGAGGATGGAAATGTCAACTGAAGGTCATTACTTCAATTCATTTTTTGCTCATCTATTTATTTATTTGCATCTTATCAATATTATTTTGTGAATGTTTGTGTGTGTTTATGTGTATGTGTGTGTGTTTGTGTTGCTCTCATCGTTGAAAATTTGTATGGTCAACAATCTGGCTGGAACTGCGAAGAAAGAGATAATATATATTCCAACAAATTGAAAAAATTTCAAAATTTCAACAGTTTTAAACATTTGTTTCTGTGGTAATAATTATAACAGAAAGCAGCAGCCAATGTTTATTGAAGAGAGTGAGTAGGTATTAATTAATAGTGTGAAATGTTGTGTCAAATCAGCTGAGAGTGCCAAGAGCCACGTCATCGACAGACTCTTCGACGATAGTTTCGAAGCTGAGTCAACTAACATGGATCCCAATTATGGCGGCAACAACGACGATGACGACGATGTTGACTTCGAAGATATCAGTGGGGCAGATAATGATGAGGTTGGCTGTTCGTTGTTTTATTTTTGGCACTTTCACTATGCAGATGATATCATTTTAATATATATGTAACATTGCAAGTGGTTCTGCATATGTCAGAGCTGTTGCAATAATAAAGACTAAAAAAATATGCAGAGAATAAAAAGGCCAACAGTTATTTTAATGAACATTTTTTTCAGGAAATGTTGTCTGAAGATAACGTCGATGAAGATGAAGAAGATGATGCTGATGAAGAAAATAATGATGATAATTATAACGACGACGATGATGATGATATATTAAATATGGCTTCTAAAAAGTGCAAGGGTAAGCTTTTGAAAATGTTTTTCATTCTCCAAATATGCTCTAGCGTTTAATTTATATTTTCAACATTTTATAACACTAACATGAGAAAGAAAAATAATTAAACATAATACACATTCCACGATGAATATGATGATGATGATGATGATGGTGATGATGTTAATGTTATTTATAGCCCTTAATGACATCTATGTGATATACTTATTTATTTTTATATATCGATTATTTTATCTTGCAGAGAAGCAGAGCAAAAAATCAAAGAAACATCGTCAAAAAATCGGTGACGACGATGACGACGACGACGGTGATCATGGTGATGATGTGAGGGTTCCTGCCAACGGTCTTGATGATGATTCGAACAGCAGGAGCAATTTGAAGAACTCGAAGAAGAGGAAGAGGGATCGACTGCTGGCTGCCTCCCTCCTCAGTTCCGGGGAGGAAGATGCTGAGTGAGTGGAATGATGTGATGGTGAAGATGATGATGATGCAAACGATGATGGTGCTGTTGATGGTGATGTTGATGATAGTGGTGGAGTAACGACGATGATAATGATGATGTCGGCAATATTTTCAGAACGACCACAAAGAAATCTGATAAGAACGGCGAATCGATGCCGAAAAAAAAGAGAGGGAGAAGAAGGAAGAGAAAGGATGATGACGACGATGAAGAAGATGATGAAGGCCTGAAGGCCATCTTGAAGGAATCAGATGGAGAGGTAGAAGAGAAGAAAAAGAAACGCCGAAGAATAAAGAATGATTCATCCGGTGAGAATGAGGTCAGTATGATTTTTAGGATCATTATTTATATTTCGGTTTGTTATAATTCTTTGCTTATTACATTTCATGTTTTATAAATTACCAAGATTGATGACAAAAAACTGACAAATGACTTAATGTTCTTGAGTAAACTCAAATAAAGAGGAACACCAAACAGGATGGCAACAGCAGCTCGGACGACAACCAGGCTTCGGGCAAGAAGAGGAAGAAGATCCATAAGATCATTACGAGCAAGAAGTTGTCGAAAGAAACCATCGATGCTGCCAAAGCTGAGGAGGAGAGGAGGAAGAGAATCGATGAAAGACAGAAGCTGGTTGGTGCTGTTAGAACTTTCCATTTTATATTGGAAACATTCCAACGAGGGACACTTATTTTATTCGGAGTTTAAATTGTATAATCAAATGCAAATTATGTGTCGTGTTTATTTTAATAATAAAATATTATTTATGATGATGACTAAACTTTGATTGATGAACAGTTCAATCAAGTTGTGGTTGAAGACACGAGTTCACCGACAAAATGTCCAATGACAACCAAGTTGGTTCTTGAGGCAGACCCCGAGACCAACGAACCCCTCATTGAGGTGCACAAGAAGGTCATCTGCAAGTTGAAGCCACACCAAGTTGAAGGTTTGCCTTCTCTGAAGATTGCATTGCATTTTGATGCGTTGACTGTTCGTTCAATGCATTGTTAACAATTTACTTGACATATTCTTCAATGGTTGCTTCAAATTTTAAAAATTGTAATGAAAATTATCTCTTTTTTGCTACTTATTTTTTATAATTAATCTATGAAACACCAGCTGTGAAGTTCATGTGGAATTGTTGCGTGGAGTCGTTGGAAATGTTGAAGAAGGAAGAGGGGTCTGGATGCATCCTGGCCCACTGCATGGGACTTGGGAAGACTCTCTCTGTAAGGACTCTTTCACGTTTCTTGATTCCCTGATTTAGTACATTTGATGAGGGGTGTCAAGTTGTGATATGTTTTTAATATTAGTTAACATGAAAATTTGAAATTGTACATGCAGGTCATTTCGTTTGTGCACACGTTGTTGCGTCATAAGAAGCTGACCAGAATGACCACATGTCTGGTACTCACCCCCCTCAACACCATCCTCAACTGGGAATCTGAATTTGAAAGGTGGCTCAAAGGGGCACAACCGCTTGATGTTAGTTCTTCTGTTATCAGTTTTTATTCTTCGAATGCAAAGATGTTTGTTGCTTGGTTGAAATTTATAACTGAATGATGGTGGTATGCTGAAAACTGCATATTTGCCTCGAGAGTGTCATGCAAACGAAGAGTATGCAATAATTTAAATGGTGCTCAATTTTATTGGAACAGTTGGTGCAACTGTCACTTCGACTATTTGAGCCAGCATGCGTGTCTGTACTTATGTATATTTTATGCACATATTCAATTATTTTTATTATTTTATTTTATTTGTACCTTTATTTGAAGTAACATTATTTAGCATTTTTTGCTTTTGTTTTTGTCTATACCAAATTAATTGTAAAAAAAACTAACCGTCCAGTAAATGATTTTTTTAAATGTCTTGAGCATCAACAAAATTTATGTAATTAATTTTTACAAATAATAAAATAAGCAAAATACAGCTGTTTAGAAGGAAATTTTTTTAATTTTAAAATATTTCTGCATCTTTAAATTTTTTGATTATTTGATTTTTTAAAATATTATTATAAAAAGTTATACATACGATACGATACATTTTATTTGTCTCCAAAACAAAGGAAAAAAGAAGACAGGATGACCATAAAAAGTTAACAAGTAACCTATCAAGTATAGCCACCTTACACATAGTTAAAAAGATAATAAAATTAATTCCTATAAAAAAAAACAAATCATAGATACACATATACATATGCATAAACATATATATATACATATATATATATATATATATATATATATATATAGATATATACACATACATACATATACATACATAAGTTTACCACTACTACTGTTATCATTATGAACATTTACAAACAGTTCCAATCTACTTATATCTAAAAACAAATCAATAAATCATAGCGATATTGAATACAACAATAAAATAAAAGTTTGCCTATAGGATATAGAATACCTTAATTTGTTCAATATCCAAAGAATTTACGCATATCAATAAACATATATATATATATATACACACCCATATATATATATATATATATATATATATATATATATATATATATATATACAAACGTTCATATAAAATAAAAAAACACCCATAATATATAAACATATACACACACACACACACACACACACATATATATATATATATATATATATATATAACAAAAAAGTCTGCTGACACAGTCATGAAGTAAACAATACATATAACTATTACTATATATATATATAACTATTACATATAACTCAAGAATTAAAGCAATTACGTATATTGAAACAACCATTCATAAAGAAATTGTGCATATAACTAACACTCATCATATATTTACAACACTCATTCATCATATATTTACACATGTTAATAAATGATCATTCATTTATTTAAAAGATCGTCCGGTTACACGAGATATATGCGAGCACACAAGTGTGATCACATATATTTAATTTTTCTTATTCACGAAATTTGATTAAGTAAAATTTCTTTCAATTTTTTTTTAAAGTAAGTTAAACTATTGATATTTACTACAGAATTTAAATTATAAGTAGCTAATAAGTAATTCCAAATTCGAGGACCATTACAAATTATTTGAAAATACAATATATTAGTTTTAGATCTATTACACTTAATTAAATATTGATATCTACTATTTAAGTTATAATTATAATAATCATGAAAAATCATTGGTAATAGTCTTGGTTTTTGCTTAAAAACAAATATTGCAGAAAGGTATCTATGTAAATCAATAAAATTTAAGTTATGTGTTGAAGAAAATAACAATGTTGTTGAGTCATGAAATTGAAAGTTAGTAATTATTCTCATAGCTCTTTTCTTCAGCAACTTCAATGGCAATGTCAATGATGGATACGTGGATGCCCAGATAATATTGCTGTACACAAGATGAGGCAAACAGAGCGAGTTTTAAAGCAGATTCAGTGTCTGTCTTGGTAAGTAGAATTTAATTCTGCTAATTACATCAAGTGATCGGGCTATCCTGCCTGCTACAGTATTAATATGAATTTTAAAAGTCAACTTGTTGCATAAATTAACTCCCAAAAAATTTGTAGTTTTTGTTTCAGTCACAATTTCATCATCAATAATGATTTTATAAGGCTCCTTATAGTTCAAATATTGTACGGGGCCAAAAATCATTAATTTCGTCTTTTTTTTGTTCATGGTTAGTTTGTTGCTCTTAAACCAATTGACAATTGACTGAATATTGTTGTTAATTTCACTTATTAGTTCATCTAGTTTTCTGTTAGTTTTGAAAACATTAGTATCATCAGCATACATTATATAGTTAAAGGCATCTGATGAATTAGAAAGGTCATTTATATAGATTGCAAACAAAAGAAGACCAAGGAACTACCTTGAGGAACTCCGATATTAATTTTTTGTAGATTAGAATCTTTACCATTCCATCTGACAAATTGTGATCTGTCTTTCAAATAACTTTCAAGAAGCATTAAGCCCTTTTCTCGTATTCCATAGTGCTCCAGCTTTTTGATTAAAATTCCATTGTCAACGCAATCAAATGCCTTGCTTAAGTCTAAAAAAAATTCCAGCGGTGAATCTTTTATCTTCAGCGGCCATTCCTATATTGCGAATTAATTGAATTATTGCCATTTTTGTAGATTGATTTTTTTGAAACCAAATTGACTTGTGAAATCACATTAAATTGATCAAAGAAAGAGGTTAATTTTTTATGTATTATTTTTTCAAAAATTTTGGAAAAACCAGGTAGCAAAGAAATTGTCCAAAAATTAGAAATCTCTTTGCATTTTTTTGCTTGTGGACTGGAATTACTTTTGCAATTTTGAAAATGTTTGGAAATATGCGGTTAATAAGGTATGTTAGGACTGGCAATATCGACTGAATTGTGGCTGTAATTATTTTAGTTGGAATGTTATCATATCCACATGAAAATTTTGTTTTTAATTATTTAGTAACAAGATAATTATCATGCATTGTGACTTCTTCTATAAATATTGTATTCTATTTGTCAAAAACTTTTCAAAATCTGATACCTTAGCAAAGCCTTCAGCCAATTTTTCAGCAATAGAAACATAATGATCATTCAGTATATTCTGCGGATCATCTACAGCTTGACCATTTGATGTTAAACAATCATCTTCATGTCCATTTTTCTTGTCTGATCTTCTCAAGGCATCATTAATAACTATCCATGTTTTTTAATATCACCTCTATTGATTTCTAACAAATTATGCAGGTACTGTTTTTTTGCATTAATTATTGATTTTTTAAAAAGTTTATTTGCTATTTTGAAATTTTCATAATTTTCATGATTAGGACTTTTAAGAAACTTTTTATATAAACTGTTTTTATTTGTTATTATCAGTTTCACTTCACTATTCATCCAAGGTTTATCTTTTTTAATTTGCAACTTTACAACATTCAGAAAAACACAAATTAAAGTTTTCAACGAATTCACTCCGTGCCACTTCAACCTCTTCACAAGAGTAGACATGAGTCCAGTCATGAGTGCAAAGCTTAAGGTTTAGATTATTAATTCGAACCTCTGAGAATACATATTTAGTTGAAGGCATTGCAATGCATTCAGCTGGTTTTACCTGTTCCTGAAATTGAATCAGCATGAAGATTGGCAAATGATCAGACAAGGTACAAGCCAGAATTCCAGATAATCTTAGATCCAAAAAGCAATCTGCAAATATATTGTCTAGAGAAGATTGTTTGTTAACAGTAACTTTTGTAGGCAGTGAAATTAATTTCTTTAAACGGTGTGACTCCAAGATTTGCAGTAAAAGGTTGTTGTCTCCATTTAAATCATCAGTGAAATTTATATTAAAGGTCTCCTGCTACAGTGACATGTTTATTCTTGATATTCAAATGATTTAAAATTAGATCAATCGATTCGCTGAATATCTTAATAAGAAATGAAGGTGGTCGATAAGCCACAACAAATATCATATTTTTTGTAGGTGATCTACTGACAATTTCAACAGCAAATATTTCTAAATCTGAGTTCAAATTATTGTTTACATCATGCAAAACTTTTACATTATATCTTTCTTTAATGAAGAATCCTACACCACCTCCACGTTTGTCCAAGCGATTTTTTCCAAAGTAAGACTAACCATTCATTGATATCAACTCCATATCACCATCAGTTAACCAGCTTTCACTTATAGCAATTATATCAAACTGAAAATTAAATTCATGAAGAAATTCAACTAAACCATCCACCTTATTTTTTAGACTTCTTATATTGAAATGAATTAAGTTAAAAAAAATAATCATTTGGTATGGTTCTTCCATTCAAATCATTAATTTCCTTAATATCTAAAAACAGTTTGCATTTATGGTCTACTGCAGTGCTTCTCGAACTTTTTGGTTCGGCGGACCGGCAAAGAATTTAACAGGAACGTCGCGGACCGCCACCCAGATTGCAGAATATATATATATATATATATATATATATATATATATATATATATATATATATATATGCGAAGTGTTATCAATTTTACAAAATTTGAATCTTTTTTTGTATAACTTTATTCAAAATGAAATAACAATAAAAAATATTTCGACATTAGAAAATAAAAATTGTTATAAAAAATTAGTGAGATGAATGAGCTCGTTTTCTATTTATTAATTCCTCAAGACGTGGCTGAAACGAAGACAGTGCCACACGTAGCGGAGAACAAACTTCCAAACAGTTTCTGTATTTTGTTTTCATTGCAGTCAAACATGAAAATCCAACTTCGCATAAATAAGTAGAAGGGAAAGGAAGAAGGGTTTTTATTGCTTCGTCAGTGAGCTCTGGGTATTCCGACTTGATACTGATCCAGAAAGCGGAAAGTGATGATGTATTTTCAAACTTCATTTTTAGGCCTTGGTCAGCAGCAAGCTCCAAAATTTTATCTTCCAACTTAACAGTCAAATTTTCCTTATGTTCAACAAAAGGATTTCTGATCCATATCTTTCCTATTCGTGGGTCATCCTCCGTAGGAAAATAAAATTCAAACCGT